ATCCCATTCAGGCATTATTTCGCTTCCGAAAAAACCGATAATTTATAAAAAAACAAATTTTCGTTAACATTAAAAAAAACCTTACCTCCACGTGTTTTAAAAGATTCGCTAGGCTGATCTTCGATGTGCTAAGAATCGTTCGTTTTGGTAAGCACCGCTTGCACTGTACTCTCACATTCTTTCCTTCTTCTTTAACTACGTTAAAATATTCCTTCAGTTGTTCCATCCAAGCTACTTGGCCTACTTCATTATCAGTTGAATCCAATTTCTTCTCGTCTTCCATTATGCCAACTAAATCCGCGCAACTTACTAAATCACAAACCACGTGAAATGCTGAGACTGAGAGTAAACATAAACAAGAAAAGGAAGTGCATACAAGCATAGAATATTAAATTGGCAAGTCATGGAAATGGTTCGTCTAATGAGCGACTGAGCCGCAACAGGACAACCAATGATGGTTATAAATCAAGCACTGCTGAAAAAAGTAACGAAGAACAAAAGTGCATAATATTTGTTACTGTTACTGCAAAAAAATAATTTGTTACTGTTACTTGCTACCCTGCACAAAAAGTAATCTGTTACAATTACTTGTTACTGGAAAAAGTAATTTGTTACAGTAATTTTGTTATTAGTAATTTGTTACTCCCCAACACTGGCCATGGGCTCCCCATTGGGTTCTTTGTTCGCGGAATTCTACATGTCAGAACTATAGGCTAAAATATTTGCAGATCCAACAAATAAACCACCAATATATGCTCGCTACGTGGATGACATATTCATTATTTGTCCCTCCGTCACCGACATATATAATCTGCAGAATTCCAAAATAACTCCCATCTGAAATTTACAATAGAATTCAGCACCGATGAGAAACTTTCGTCCCTCGATTGCTTAATTCAACAGAAAGAAGAACAACTAACTACCAAAGTTTACGTGAAACCGTGCAACTCCGGCCAGGTACTTAACTACAAATCAGACTGTCCTGACCGTTATAAAAACAATGTCGTATACAATTTCATCCACCGCGCACATAAAATTTCTTCTGACACTACTATATTTCAAACCGAACTAGTTCCTATCAAACAATTTCTAATCATTAACAATTGTAGATGATACTATTAAAAAATATGTTCTCTCTCTCTCTCTCTCTCTCTCTCACTCTCTCTTTGCTGTTTATCACAAATTAATCACGCCCAAGAAGGGAAAACTTCAAAAAACAAAATTGCACATCGGTGAATATTCAATCACCAACATTCATTCATCTTACGACCAGCAGCATCAGCTGCTGCAGCAATTTCCAGTGTCACTTCTGTGTGACATGCATAAGTTTCCACGCAGGTGTGCCCGTTTGTATGTTTGTTTGTTTGTATGTTTGTTTGCATGTATGTTTGTTTGTATGTTTGTTTGTTTGTGTGTGTAAGTGTGCATTTTTGTATGAGTGAATGTTTGAATATTTCTTTGTTTGTGTGTCTGTATGTGTGTATTTATTTCTGTGTTTGTGTGTGTGTATTTGTTTGTTTGTATACACGTGTGTACAAACACACTCACACACGCACACACACACAGAGAAAGAGAGAGAGTTACGTGTGTGTGGACAAAAAACGTGTGCGTGTTTACGAACAGTAAGGAACGTATCCAATAATGTCTGGCGCTTTATGTTGGTGATGTTGTCGCGGAGTTTTGATGATGATGATGATGATGGTGGTGATGATGATGATGGTGATAATGGTGGTGGTGATGATGATGATGGTGATAACGATGATTAAAAATGGACGGCGATATAAATGATATATTTAATCTCTGCAATGATTTTGCTAATATTGTGTTATGCATGTGGATGATGATTGATTCTAGCATGCGTGTATTTTTGTTATTGTGTGTGTGTGTGTATGTGTATTTGTATGTGTGTTTGTATGTGTGTTTATGTGTGTGTGTGTTTGTATGTGCATATGTGTGCCTGTGTTTTTGACTTCTCCGAGTCTTCTTCCACTCGATACTTTTTAGTATTCTTTGAATCGACCGATTAGTTATCAGTATGTAGTATTACTGAACACGCACTATAGTTCGATTTTTTAGAATGGGGTGCTTACATAACTTAGTGAATTAAGCTGGTAGTGTTTTGCTAGTTCTATGCAGTTAAAAATCTAAGGGAGCAGGACTTTATGAGTATTATTTTTATTAAAAATAAATGAAACTCAGTTTTTAGACAATTTTAGCAATTTTAATAAAAACTAAATAAAATCACCCCTCAACCGTTTTAACTTTTATTGAAAATAATTTCCCGGGACAAAATGAACAAACGAAGGATTCAATGGTGATGTCATTCTGTTAAATCATCATTCAATCATCTGCAGGATTCCCTTGCATTCGATCCAGGTCACAGCGACGCATGAAGGACCCGACATCCTCAATTACTTAATTGCATCTCAACTTAGAGCCACCAGAATCCAAGGAAGACTCAATTAAATCATCAGAGTAAAAATAACATCTAATTAATTTTTTAACATTATAATATAACCAATAACATTATAATATAACCACACACATTTCATGTGATAAGCGGAGAACACTGCAATCGAATCCAGTCACTGCAGAGGCAGTGTCAGGCACTTTACCGCTACTCTATCGCTCCGCCACAATGGTCACAAAAAGGATAGAATAAAAATAAAAATCTGTTAGGGAAAAAATCCTAATCTTAAAACGATAGTAACACCATCTTCATGCTCAATCTTACGTACCATCATATATTGTTATTCATTAGTGAGATTAGCTCGTACAAAAATAAAAAATTAGTTTTGCTCAATAAAAGTTGAATTAGTTTATTCTTAAACAGTGCTACGATTAAAAATTGAAGTTAAAAGTTGTTGCTTGTAGCTAACATGCAACTTCGATTTTAATGAAATCAAAGGTAGTATTCATCTGATTGTTGGAAGGGTTGAATGCAAATGCGATCGAATCAAACGTGTAGTTTCCGCCACTGATAACATCTTCCGGTATGCTCTGTTCGATTGAAAATTATCACATTTTTAATTATTCACTATTGCTACGACATGATCAACATTCAAAATTAATTTTTCATAATAAAATATAACAAAACAGAGATTAATTTAAATAGCTCGTCAATATTTGTCCAACCTGGTTGTTATAGAGAGGAAAAGCCGGATCTTTAGAGGAAGTTATACCCTCACTTGTAGAAATTACAAAGAAACAATAGTTAGCCACATTTTCCATACTCAGGCTAAATCTGATCAACTGTTGCGATTGTGATGAATTAAACCCGAGAAACGAATTGTAATAATTAGTAGTACATCTCCAAATTGTTGGTCCAAAAGATGTCCACAGGTAAATGAGGCGTCCATTTATTTTAATTGTTCCAGTATCAGAAATTAATTGATTATATTCAGAGGTAGCATCACGTACACCACGTATACAAGCTGTGGAGTGTTTTTGAGTTATGTTGAACTATAAATATAAATATGAATGAAACACACGCGCGCGCGCACGCACGCACACACGCACATACACACACACAGCTTTTTTCGCAACGATGTTAAAAATAGCCTATCAAGTAACATTCAACCATGTTGGTTGCTGTAATGCAACAACCATTCAACCAACCAACCAACCAATCATCCAACCAACCAACCAATCAACCAACCAACCAATCAACCAACCAACCAATCAACCAACCAATCATCCAGCTAACCAACCAACCAACCAATCAACCAAGCAAAAAATCAAACAGACAAACGAGCAGATAAACGAACGAACGAACAAACAAACATAGCTTTATTTAAATAACGATATTAATAAAAGTTTTCGGAACCGTTCAAAAGTTAGTAACGTTTTTCAATTAACTTTTGCCCATCGCCAATCACGACATGATAAAATTAAAAACTTATGTATATATAAGAGCGGGAACATGAAACTGCCATGCTTGCCAAAGAACTAAATCTTTTTAATGTTTATTAAAATTTTACCAATTTTTTCGATATAATATTTTATTTAATTTATCTGCAAAACCATTTTTAGAATTTGAAAAACATTGTAAATGAGCATACCTGTTGTTGCTAGGTTGGTGGTTGTGACCGTACTTAAAGCCATAGTAGTGGTTCGAGCCGTTGTAGTAGTGATTGAAGCTGTTGTATTAGCTGTTGTAGTAGCTGTTGAGGCTATGAAAATTGAATAAATCATAAAAAATTAAATATTCAGAAAAAACTTGTTGATGTCAAAGTAAATGTTGTTGTTTCCTTATTATAAATATGATGAAGAACCTGCTGCAGCCAAGACGGAAGCCATCAGAGTGGTGCAGACGACCGCTCCAATCATTCCACTGCCCGCCATCACCAGGAACAAAATCTTCCTGCCTCTTCTGCCATTGCCACCATTAAGTCTATCTTCTCCATCGGCTCCATCGACTCTTCTCGAAGTTGTTTCATCTTCCATGACTTGCGCTATTGCAAATTATTCAGTCCTATTATGTTTTAGCTTATCTTCCACTTCAATTTATTGATAATACATACAACATAGGGTAATAAAACATACAACGCATGTTTGAAGTTCTACATGTATATATATATATATATGTATATATATATATATATATATATATATATATATATATATATATGCGTTCGTTTGCTTTTCATTCGTTAGAATTTTTAAACTATAATTTTTATTCATAAACTCTCATACACAGACACACACACAGACACACACACACACACATACAAGCAATTGTTATTGTCGGTATAGCGTTGTAGCTAGAAAGACTTATGGTAGTTTTGTATCTACGCAGTGTGTATTTATATTTTTATCATAATTTTTAATATTGTGATAAATATTATTATTATTATTATAATGAATTATTTATTAAATATTTTAATTATTATTATTGAATACAGTGCATATCCTATACGTTTAAAATTAAAATAGCACCATGCAAGTCTGGAGTTTTAGGTTCAATACTACAGACCGATCTGCGAATGTTGTTATGAACATAACACTGGATATTAGGATCGGTTAACTCTCATTGCCTTAATGAGAAGGAGTGTTTTTTTTTATTTTGTTCCTTAATACTAACATGGATTTGCAGAAGAGCATTATTTATAAAGATTTAAATTGTGGTTAATTTATATGTTGGTGATGTCAAAATTTATAACATTGTATGTGAGTGCGTGTGTGTGGTGTGTGTACGTGCATATTTGTGTGTGCGTGTGTGCGTGTATTACATATTTCCTCCGTGCGTGTCGAACTGGAATGAAATTATGATCCTCACTGTTAAGTCATAATTGCATTCACTTAGAAGCAATTACCATAAGCTCGTGCAATGCGATTCGAGCAAGTTAGAGATCGCGCTGTGTGTGTGCAATTGCATGTTTTCGACACAAAGACATCAGCGCTTGTTCATGTAGCGACGTATTGAGAGTATTGGTATGAGGATAGCTTACAATCTGCAAGGTTGTCGCATTCATTTCAATTCAACTGTTTGAAAGCACTCGCACGATGTTACCTTACTATACAGTACTGATTATTGTTTCGTTTTTTTACGGCTGTTATTGTGGCTGTTGCTGTTGTTGATTTTGGGAAATGTTTTTCAATATTCAAACATTGAAATAATCATAATAACAAAATTCAATGATTTTCTTGTTTTTTTTACTTTGTTGTTATAGCTGTTACATGTTTGTTTAGCTTGCGACAGCCAAATTCTTTCGTGTTAACATAATTTATCCACAAAATGTGAATTTGTTACTTAAATGTTAGCAACTCAATAACAAACAGCTATTTAGTAGTCTACATGAAATAAAGTTTGTCTACATGAAATAAAATTGTCATCAACTGTACCTCAACCCTGGCTTGAATAATTACTGAGAGTTAAAATAACAGCAAAAAGATTTTAACAATATAAAAAATAAAATTCATTTAGTCAAAATTTTATAAAATATTACACACACATATGACCAGTAAGAATTTAAACGTAATAAGAGTACTATTTAATTATCATAAAATAAAAAGGTTGAAATGAATATGTAGAATTCAATGCTGAATATTGATAAGTTAGGATGGTTCGAATTTTGAAACGATGAATTCTGTTGAGAAGATTGTGCAAAAACAATCTCATGCTTTATGTTTATTGCTGGCAGATAAATTTCTACATGAAACAAATTTATATATAATTATTTATTATATATATATATATATATATATATAGAAGTTAATGTTAATTAAATAATGCACAATGATAAAATTTGTAAAAATTGTATAAAATAATATTAAAGGTTAAGACTATTTTGCTCATTGTGAAGTTAAGTGCAGAACGGTAAAATATATTTAATTAGCATCATAGCTTGTTCCTGTCACAATAAATGTCATACGATAATCTTATAACAGTGTTTATCAATTCATCATTAAATGATAGCGGCCATTGAACTTTAAACAGTGACAAATTAAAATTGTTGTAAAAACCAATAGGCGTTATTTCGAATGAGTTTATAACTATTGAACAATGTTTATAGCTTTATTTAAACTACAGTGCAAATGATTAGAGTATTCTAGGTTGATTCTAGGAGGTTTCTAGTTTGCTTTCATGGCACACAGTTAATTCTAGAATCTTAATTTTGTTATTTTGAAGTAAATATTGCCCTATATAAACATCATAAAGCACTGATGATTCGGAATCGAAGTATGGCCTTATTTGCAGCATGAATTCGGAAAATAAGTTTATTTTGAATTTTAATAAACTAAACTTTCACCAAAAAACTTTAGTGAGAAAAATTGAAAATATATATATATATATATATATATATATATATATATATATATATATATATATGTATGTATGTATGTATGTATGTATGTAATATAAATATATATAACGGAGCCCAGCCTTTCATTGTTTTATTGAAAATTTTTACAATTCACTAATTCGTTCTTGTTGTTGACAATGCTTTCGTTTTAATTATTAGTATTATGAATAATATTGTAATAGTGATTATTGTTGAAATTATTTTTGTTGTTATCGTTATCAATATTAAGATTACTGTTATTGTTGTTGTAATTAATGATGTTATAGTTGGCAATGGAGTTATCATTATCAATAGAAAGATTATTGTTGTTGATGATAATATTGCTTCGGGTAACTCTATTGTAGTAATTATTATTGTTGTTACTGATATTTCTTAATTTAAATTTAATTACATTGTTAATTTCTGATATTTGATAACCATTATTAACAAGTAATTTTTTAATGCGATTCAATCCTGTATTGATGTCATTTTGAGCAGTTGAGTGTGTTATTGCTCGGTTGACGAAGGCTTTGATAATATTCAGTTTATATTATTTCGTACATTCACTTTGTCCATTAAGACAAACTCCTTTGTTGGTTTCTTTCAAATAAACTGAGATGTTGAAATTACGTTCATCATGTTTAACGAGCACAGAAACGGTAATGAATTTTCTTTTTCTAATTCAATTGTGAATTTAACTTTTGAATGATTAAACGTGGTAACAAGTTCATTGATCATGTCTTGTTCATCATATGCGACAAAAATATATATATATATATAATTGCTACAGCAATAACGGAGCCCAGCCTTTTATTGTTTTATTGTACCTATATGTATATTGTTAGGTTAATATATAGTTATTAACATTTATTGGTTATTACTATAATTTTTAAAGTATTTATATGTATTTACGGTGTGTATAGACGTCTGGGTAGGTGTGCTTGATTAAGATAATTCATTATCAGTATTGTTTTAGTATATGTATGCATGTATTATACGGGTGTGTGTGGATGTGGTTTGTGTGTGATAGTGTGTATGGGTAACGTACATTTTTATTTCTGTTTTTGAAAAGTCATCATATATAATGATATTATAATAACATTTTATTTCATTTAGATAAGGGCATATGTTTTTCGCGCCCATCATTTCTTTATGTAATTTTATGTTATTGAAATTTTTTACAATTTACTAATTTTAGGCTCTGATGATGGCTACCTAGCCAAAACATTGTTTTTAGCCACGATATGACACAAGTTTTTAATAAATATGAATTGCAACAATTACATCAATGTTGACTCAATATCAAAATAATTAATAAATGCAAAATGGGCAAACATATTCAACGAAATTGGTATAAATGAAAACCTCGTTCCTGAATATATTACACTTTGGCTCCTAGGTAAACAACAACAACAACACCGATACATTTCAATTTTCCAAAAACAACAGAAATTAGCATGTGAGAAGGAATCTATACATTTTCAACAGTATAATAAACTTCTACACACACTTGCTAACGACAACAATATTAATAACTTCAATAACCTGAAGACTGTCATTGAACAAAAATACTATTCCTACTTTTCCTATAAACTACAAACAATGTTAAAAAAGCTCTATAGTTTATAAAATAAAAATACCATACTCCCTGACCAACAGGTTCAGTCCAACATTAACCTATCTAATCATACATTAACAGACGATGAAGCTTCCTTTCTCAATTTAGGTCTCAATTATTGAAATAATATATATGTATATTATAATTGTTTCAATATATTTATGACTTTCAATAGTTTCAGACAATCTTATTATTATTGCTAACTTGACTAACTTGCACGTGTATGATTTTTGCTTTTTGTCGACTAACGTGTCTTCTAATATTTCAATTAACGTTTCTTTAATAAACAATTATATTAAAAATAAACAAAAAATTTTTTTATCTTAAACATCAATACGCACATACGTCGACGATACAATCCGCTTTTCAAAGAAACAGGAATGGAGTTATTATATAACGCATGCGAAAACCTTAAGAAGCAGGCACTGATTCACTTTGATAGTGCTCTTCACAGCTAGCTTCAAGCTGAGGCACACCGTCACCGTAATATGTGTCGTAAACCAGCTCTGTCAAAAGAGTTTGTCGCTGCATCTAGGAGTCTTCGAAGTAACGACATCGTTATCCGTAAATCTGACAAGGCCAACATGTACGTTATGATGAATCGATTGGATTACCTCAAACTAATCAATAATATTTTGTCCGATAATACCAAATTTCAATGTAATGCTAAAGATCCCACATCACAAATCAAAACGAAGGCTAATAAAATAATTGCACAGGTAAATCTTAATTCAACCTCTGCAAAACTCACCCCTATAGTCGGCGAATATAATCCAGGATATATCTAGGGAAATGTGAAAACTCACAAACCAAATAATCCATTAAGACCAATAATCTCACAGTACCCCACTCCCACTCATCATTTAGTTAAGGCACTCAACAAACTTCTGCTTAAAGATGACGTCTTAATCGTTTAATTTCGGGTATCATTTCATTTTCTTCTAGTTCATCAAACGTTTCTGTCAGATTTGGTATCAGCTTTGAAAGTTCTTCTATCTCCATTCCAATAAGATGTGATGATTAAATAGCTGCAAATTTTACATATACATTTTGCATTGATTCTATCCTTTTTCTAAGATCTTGATAAAAATTATCAAATGATTGAAACATTGATCGTCTCAATTCCTGTTTCAACGTTAAAGCTTCATCTTTACTTTCTTCTCCAGGCATAAGCTTTCTTTGACTTTTTCGACCAATTTTTTTGTAGTTATTCCCATTTCTTCACAAATTTTTGTAGAAAATATCAATGCATTTTCAACCAATTCATCGCGACTCTCATGCAGAAAAAGTTTTAAGGTATCTAATTTTACAATGGTTTTATCTAAACCAATTCCTTCTGTTTGCAAGTATTTTTGAGTATGATTGACTTCCCCAAGAGTACTACTCCAGAAATGAAGATAAGCAAGAAATTTGAAATCTTGAATATTTTTCATTAAAATTTGAGCTGAACCTCTCGTATCTACATTTTCTGATGGATCACATAATTTTTCTAAAACCTGTACCAACTTGCTGAAATGATTCATTACAGGTTTCACCGCATGATATTGCTCACTCCACCTGGTTTCTGCTAGCCTTTT